GTAATATTAAGAGAATAAAGTTGTAATATTAAGAGAATAACGTCCTAAAATTTTGAGAATAAAGTTGTATTTTATAACAACAAGAGGTAATTTTAATCTTGTAATCTTGAATTTATTCTCATAATATTACAACTTTATTCTTGAAATAAAAAATAAATAAATCTCTAGCCCGGCCCTAATACTCAGTCGTAAAAAACCAACTAAAATACCGGTATAAGAAAAGTTATTCAGACTATTACCAAAGTTTCATTCTGGATTGCATCTTTTTTCAAATGTAAATTTACGTTTTTTTTCTTTTTCATGCAACAATAATGGAACAAAATTCACTCCATAGCTAGTTCAAAACATGCTGACAGGGTCTTCTGGCTGAGAACCAGGTATATTCCAGTTAACATTGAAATTAATCAAACATAAGATGTGTGAGCAGAACACACTGTAATTAATAAAGATATTTGTCTTTTACCTGAACAGGTCGTCCACCTGAAATCCTTTCCTCCGTCCGAGCTGAGAGAGAAAAGCTCTCCGACTGGCTCCCATTTTCCTCTCCAACAAGAATAAAACCAGCTGAGGGAACTTGGTTGGCTCTGTTCCTCCACAGACATTTGTCTCAGTGTTCAAAGAACCCGCGTGAACCATTTTCCTCCGCTTCAAAGGCACCATTTCCCTCTGGCAGACCTAAACCTCGCGCTTCCTAAAGTTAAAAATAATACATAACAATCGTGTAAAAAATCTAAATCAAGTGTGTGTTTGTCTTTAAATAATTATTTGTAACATATATTTTCTTAATATGTTTTTTATATGTATAAAAAGACATTTGAATCGTTGGATGTTAAAAGGCAACTGTTTCATCAGCGCATCTCTCCTGTAAGTAAAAAACTACCCACAGAACTTCCGTATACACTGAGGCAGGCGGAAACAGCTGTGCTGCACCACCGGTGGGTTATCAAAATAGTTCCGACTGGAAACAACAGTGACATGGTCATGGTATCGTAGATGGCAGAGATTTTTTTATTTTTTTTTTATTATAAAATGTTTTTTACTACAAGAAGAAAAAAGTACAATTTCTAATGAAGAATCGGCAGGGGTTTAAACAAAAATAGTAAGACTAAATAAAAATAACTGAATAAACGTAAAAATAGTAAAAGCGATTAAGTAAAGCTACTGTAGAAGCATATAAAGGGATTACATAAATATTATGAATTCAGAGCATAGAGATAACGTTTTAACAGTCTTTTTGTTATTGGAAAAAGACGATGTAGAAAAATAAATTGTTGCTTCCTTTAAAAAAGAGATTTGTGGAACTAAAACTTGACCAACAGAAGCAAAAGATTACATAAAAAGAAATGGTCAGAAAGTTATTTTCTATATTCTGTAATAAATTCCAAATAAAGAAATTATTCCAAATAATCATCCTAGAAAAATAAGATTCAAATCTGTCATAAATATTGTCCAGAATGAAGCGGAAAATACCTTGCCATAGACGCCTGGTGTACTCACAGGACCAAACAAGGTGTGAGACAGAAAGGTGTTTTATCGTTATCTCCTTTTTTCCCTGTTTTTTCTTTCCTGTCCTGCTTACATTGCAGTGTTCATATAATCTGTAATACTCCCTGCATAATCATGATAAAGTTATTTATATGCATATAGCAAGCGGAACACTATGGCGATAGCAGTACTGCTCCACTTGTGAAAGTAAAATCTGTTGGGCTCTTTTTGGCATCAAGACAATTATTCTTATTGCCACATCGCCAGACAGGACACTGTTAAAAAAAAAAAACAAATAAAAAAAAAATAGAGACAGATTCAGAGTAAATGTTACAGAAAGTGAAAGTGGTATCAATGTACTTTTTATATTTAATCAAAAATGACTTTACTGGGTAACAGCAGTGAGTAATCTTAAAAGAAACTACTTAAACCTTGTTTACTAGAAAATATTTATTAGGTAGAGACAACACTTTGTTCCAACATACTTCTGAGACCAGACTTACATGAGGAACGGAGATGCAGTTATCTATGTTTTTTTTTTTTTTTTTGGAGATTTGTGTTGAAAACATGGTCTACCTACATAAGTATCAGTTGGATCAGGTAGAGGTCTCGGGCCTTCAGAGAACAGAGATGTCTGACCTTTAAATAACATTATAACACCTGGTGGAATAGCATGAAAAACAGCAAACTGTTCTGGGCTTATAGGAATCTTAAAATGGCACAAAAACTCTTGATAATTAAAGAGGTTTCCTTTTTCATTGTACAGTTGACTTACCAGTGTGATATCATTCCTAAACCAGTTTTCAAAAAACAGAGATTTTTTCCTTGTAGCATATATCTTTGCTATTGCAAAGAAAGTAACTATTAGGAGAAAAAATATGTTTGAAAATCAGTGACCAATCAGG